TGTGTGTGTGTGTGTGTGTGTGTGTGTGTGTGTGTGTGTGCGCCCAACATGACCCCCCTCTCTGTTCCACTCCCGAGCTGCAACTCTTTCCCCAACCCCATTAGCAGTGCCCACCTTTCTCTCCACCACATCCCCTCTCACCCTCGTTCAGCACTCTTGTGTAAGCCTGCAGGAGGGGGGGGTTGATGGCTGTGGGTTTTACCCAAGACCCACGTGGCCTGTCGTCGCCACAGATCTTTATTTTCTGTAGCTCTGCAAGATCCGGCTCCCCATTCCTTTTGCTGCCTTCCATATGCGCAGGCGATGGTTGCACTTCCTCGTCCACCAGAGGCCATATCTCATCCATACGCCACAATAGGTTGGCTGCACCTTTTCGACACCTGCAATGACAATAAAATTGCACCGTTATAACTTGTAATCCTGCTCGAACGCCAAACACAATTTTCTTTTTTCCTTCTTTTCTCTTGAATTTGCACCACTTCGCAATTTCTAAGTATTATCCTACCTACCCTTGCGCGGGGGGTCATGCTAATCTTCTCTCTCTGTACCGCTTCCAATTTTTACGGACGTCTCAAAGGACAGCCAATTACTATTCCTTCCTGTTTTTTATTTTGTAATCTTTTTAATGTCAATTCAGCCGATTACTCGTTAAGCCCATAGACCAACTCTCTTCCACCAATAAAATGCATGGTCATTATAACTGTATTTGGGCAACTTCAGTCTAGACTCTAGATACTGCGATCATGACCATGTGCTCCATTCAGGCGAAGACGGTGTCAATTCGGTCCACAGAAATTGTTCATATTCTTGTTCCAACCAAATCATTTTTTTGACTCTGCGAACCGTACAGACACTCAGAAGCCTAAACATTTTCCATTACACAATCAACTTGAATCAAGCGACAGAAAATAAAACGGTGACGGCGTGAGTTATATTAGTCGATCAGGACTCGAACTCTGGTCTGTTTATCAACACCTATATGGGTGAACCATCGAGCCACAGGGGCGGGGTACATGAACACCCCCTTTTTCTCCGGTCCATTCATCCTTTAAACCACCACTACCTTTTCACAGGCAAACTCTAAAACTCCTAAGAATACGGTCTGTCTCTTATACACATCCCCCCCCCCCCCCCCCCCCCCCCCCCCCCCCCCCCCCCCCCCCCCCCCCCCCCAAAAAAAAAAAAGAAAAAAAAAGAAAAAGTTGCATGGGTGCTTCAGTAAAGCTTGGCTCACAGTTCTTTTCCGCCTCTTCAATCCTCCCCCTTCCCTCTCACCATCATCTTCTTCCCTCGCATACGACTCTACCGGCCGAAAAAATAATAATAATAATAATAATAATAATAATAACGACTGTAGCTCATTTGGCTCACAGTTCTTTTCCGCCTCTTCAATCCTCCCCCTTCCCTCTCACCATCATCTTCTTCCCTCGCATACGACTCTACTGGCCGAAAAAATAATAATAATAATAATAACGACTGTAGCGAATGAGCCAGGCATTTCTTGATCCTGCCCATTTCTCCCACCCTACCGAGTACATATCGTCTTGCAGGATGGTCATTCACATCACAACAACCAGATGGGCAATAAAGGAAACCTTTATGTGAAAGCAGCTGATTCTCTAATAGTCGGATTTTGTGACGAAAACAGCGCCCACCCGCATACCCACTCACACAATTATAGGGTGCATGTTCTCTTCCTTTTTCTTTTTTTTTGGTCATCCTAGCGTGTAGGGGCCATGCTAATCTTCGCTGTATCGTTCCAATTCAACTGACGTCCGATCAGACTTCCGGCCTGGAGTTGGACTGCAATGTGTCGAGGAGAGAACGCAACTGTGGAGTCCCGTGTACTACGCATCGACAGAAGGACAAATTTCAGCATCTATTCACTGGCCAAGAGGAAGATAGATGGTCTCGTGTACCGAGCACGTACCGTCTTGAAGGATGGTGATTCGCAACAAGGGATGCGAAAAGGGTTACAGGGTGCCGCGAATCCTTGTCGAGAACCTGCCTTGGCAGCCACAAAACGACATCCATGATCCACGAGTACAAAGTGCTCATTGACATTCCAGTTCCAACGACAAACTGGCAAGCGTGTGGACAACACTACACTGGACATAACATCAGGCAGCAAACAGATAACATATCTAACACCCAAATGCAAAACCGCAGAAAGATTTAAAGAGCAAAACAAAAAACTGGCGATCGCAAAGCTGCAACTGGTACCATTACCAGGACATGACAACTTTTGGGACTTGCACGTGCGGGCCCCATCCGCGGTTTCACGAGGGACCGGACTGGATCGTGCGCCATGTTCGAGTATTCACATCCAAAGGAAAAAACAGGATGGGCCAAGCACAGTACCGAATGGATCCACGTGTATGTATGGTGAGTCGAAAAATATTCCCAACAATCGGCCCCCAATCTATCCCAGCAAGGTGCCCTGCATCGGCGCCGTTGAGCAGGCAATGCCCACACATTTGTCCACTTAACGGCCACGTACGCCCAAGGGGGGGCGGGGGAAGGAAAAGGTTACACAATACCCCCGAGGCAAAACCTTCAAATTTTTTTGCCCCCAAGGCGACCGGGCAGGGGGGGGGGGGGGGGGAGAAGTCTGGGAGGCCCTCAGAGGAACCTGCACATCATTTTTGCACCCCTATAAGGCCTGACCTGAAAATTATTTCCCGGCCAAATTGCACCACATGAGTTAGCAGCCTAGCCAGGGTGCAAAAATGTCATGCGGGTTCCCTTGAGGGCCCCTCTCAAGCATTTCGCCCCGTTCGGGAAGCCAACAAATACAAAGGTTTTGCCGCGGGGGACAGGTGGGGGTATATTATAAACATTTCCCAAAAAAAAGGAACGAACAAACAAGCTCTCCCTTAATGTGTATTGCGCAAACAATCACCAAACATCGACAAGTGTCAATTGTACGATCTCCTCTAAATTTTACAAAGGGTGAGAAGTACGGAGGCAACCGACCTCCGACCACTGAGTCCTTCTGAACAGAGTGCAACTACCTTTGCTGCCATCAACAAGGGAATTGCTAATCTTCAGTATGCCCAAATCCATCCGTAAGATTCCGTGCCCAAATCGCATTGAGGGTCTATTTTGATCACTTTAAACAATCACATTGAGCTTCTATTTTGATCACTTTAAAGTTTAAAAGTTCAAAATCTGAAGAACAGAGTGTGAAGCTGGCCATCACAATTGGGTGCTGAAACAAACCACCAGTACCCCCCCCCAGGGAGTCTTAGGCCCCCTCTGGGGAGGCTCTGACGCAAATGCATATGGACCCACTCGGTGCACCGATTCAGCCACTGTGTTAACGACCTAAAAACGTGGAGGCACTGGTATAGTTTAAACCACCGGTATCTCCCCCCCCCAACCATTTTGTTCCGATATGGCCATAAACATGCCGAGTCCTTTGGGGATCAGCCTGCCAGACCGAAATGGTTGGCGCCACCAGGTACGAAAGAAAAGAAGCACGCTCGCATTGGTTCGTTTTTTTTTATATGCAAGCAGCACAAATTTGCATCAGGAAAACGGTGCTTGTAGATACTGGTGGCTCAAAGCCGAGTGCCCACACATTCTTGAGCCATCAGCACAAATAGTACCCTTACTCTGAACTCGCGGCCGACACATAAGGAGGCCGCTCTTTCGATGTGCCGGCCTGCCTGCAGCCAGTTCGGTACATACTATAAAGTTATAAACCTGTGTTCGTCCTCGGGCGGCCCGGCTGGGGGAAGGTCGCCTGGGTACCCTCCCAGGCGGCCCGGACCGGGCAGGGCCCGGGCAGTTTCCCAGGCGATCCCAGCGCATAGTATTTAAAAACAAAATAGGGAAAAAAAAATCCGAAAACAAAATATGTTGTGTAAAATTGCAATACAAACGACTTTTGGCTGAGGGCCACCTCGAAATTCCTTGTTAATTTCAAGATAAAAATAAATGAGAAAACATGAGTCCAAATGCACCCTTTTAAGCCTTTTAGTCACTGTTTATACCCCACAACGCCCCCTGCATAACTCGTCACCAAAACCGAAGTTAAGACCCGATTCTGACTGCTTAGGCCAAGCGCAGTCCTGGGATGAAGTCTCTTTTTTCTTTTTTTACGATCCTTGCCTGTTTGTTGACCTGTCTGGTTTTGCCAGGCGACCCCCCCTTGCCCAACTGGCCCAGGTGTGCCTGGCCGGGAGACGGCCCAACATAGCTATAAACTCGAATGGGAAAAATGTCTGCCCAGCTCAAGAGGCTCTTTTGAGTCTTTTTTTTTCTTTTCTTTTTTTCAGTCTCTTTCGCGGCACTGGTGGTTTATTTTTTGTCTGTGTGATGTCAACCCTCTAAGAACAAGTCCAGTTCCATCCCCCAAAAAATGAATTTAATTGAAATTAATTCTACATTGTTATGCTCAAAACTACCGAGTACGGGGCTAACATTCATCGCTATGCCCCGAATCGCCACTGGGATTATCAACACACTTGCATATTTAGTACTGAGAAAACTCCACGAATATTTGAAAAATGCCACCACCTGTCTGTGTGTGTGCGGGCCTTGAAAGACGAGTCGGGAAAGGGGGAGAGATTAAGAGGGGGGGGGGGGGGGGGGGGGGGAGAGAGAGAGAGAGAGAGAGAGAGAGAGAGAGAGAGAGAGAGAGAGACAAAACACAGATATGTACATCATCATGCCTTTTTCCCTTCTCCTGTGTTGTGTGTTAGAGGCTTAGAGATTGACATCTCACGCAACTTGTCCTACTCACATGTATCGCCACGTATGATGCATTCCGCAGACGATATCTAACGGTTCATTGCACATACATACCGTGTTAAAGATGATGTTGAAAGACATGGCTACGGCCTCCTCCATGTCGTATATATCTGCAATTTTCTGAAATGACAACCGAAAAGTCGACACGCCGAACATCCCAACCACGCTCAGTGATTCTAATAATAGGCGATTGCCAACCCCGTAAGCACTAAGAAAAGAGGACAAGAGGAAGCAGTTTGCACGACTTCTTTAGTTCTTTTTATTCCTTTGCACCTGGTGCAGTATAATAGTATATATAATACCTTTCACAGACCGACTCACATTAACGTTGGGAGTGTCGACAGAGTGCGGTTCTTCATTTCAGACATGTCTCAGAACTTTCAGAGTTGTTTCAGACACATTACAGAGAGGTGAACGGAGACATGTCATGATGTTTCCGTAACGAACCGCCAATTTGCGATAGCAGGCCCGCTGCTTATCCACTGAGCAGAGTCGCCCTTCAGAACCATTTTGTGGTTTTCAAGAATTTTTCATACTCGAAAGAAAGAGAAAAAACAAAAAAAAAGTGCAATACTTTATGATGCCTAGTAGAAGAAGAAGGCAATTCATACTATTTTTCATAGACAGCACCCACAAACTCAATCTCAGATCCAGGTGGGTCGAGACCAGTGACCACCCCACCAACTGCCTGATAAATGATAGATTGCAGACAGGCAAATGCTATAACCCTGATCAATCATCAATGCATAAAGCAAGTCAACCTTGCCACAACAACATAAACTGCAACTCAATTCGACGTCGAATCCACGTCGAATTGAGTTGCAGTTTATCCACTGATCGATGCAGGACTTAACTCTAACACAACGGCATAGATTGCAACTCAATACGACGTGGATTTAGACCAGGACAGAAGACAAATGAAGAAAAAAAGACAAAGGTGAACAAAAAGAAGAAGAAAAAGAGCACGAGATTGGACCAATGCCATCTCCCTTCTCTCGCCATCGTCATCAACCATCACATAATCGCCGCGTCCTCTTGTGAACAATTGAATACAAATTACAAATGCATCAATGAATGAACAAGAATCAATGTCATAAAGATTCCCCTTACGGTCAGTAGTCAAACATCTTTACTTTAGTCCCCCCCCTTCTCTCTCTCTCTCTCTCTCTCTCTCTCTCTCTCTCTCTCTCTCTCTCTCTCTCTCTCTCTCTCTCTCTCCTTGCCCCACGACGACCGTGCCTCTGCCATCTCCTACCGCCAAAGCCTCAGTCCAGGAAGATGTCTTCTATTTTACCACATTGCCTGTTGTATTAGCTAATCGACTACCGGTCCTGGCATTGCTGTACATAATATTTATATTTACTATGTATGAGCACACTCTCATTACGGGAGCCGCTTCTCTTTCAATGGGAGCTGCATTCCCTCCATACGCAGGATTTTACTATACCCCACCAGGGGGCTCTGGATGCTGCGAAAACCAAGGAAACAGAGATGAAGGTCCGCCATAGCCAGAGATAAGGCTGCTCATAAGTTCCCTTCTTTACCTCCACTCTTCCCTTCCACCTTCCTCCATACCTAGCTTGGTGTACTTCTTTACCTCCATAGCCAGCCAGGACCTCTCCCTCCAACTACCACTCATCCTACATAGCCATGGAGGTCTTCCTCATCACCCTCTTGCTCCTCTTCACCCAAGAACGCCGCCTAACTCTCCCTCAGGGCCAAGCAGCTGCATGACTGCTGGGTGAATGCCCTGACTAAGTGCACCGAATGCTATATATTCTCGACTCCGGCCCGTTGCCTCCTTACTCGGCATACCCCTCCCCTGGACCTACCAGGAGTGCTTACTTACCCTACACGGCCGACCGGTTCCCTGCTCCTGGTCGGAACATCATTGCAGACTATAAGCCTACCGGTAGATAAATGAGCTGATCCTAGCGACATGCAGGCCTACCGGTTCCCTCCTTCTGGTCAGCTGTAGGACGCATATATCTAGAGCTGATACTAGCAACATGCAGGCCAGTACCATCATGACTCTACCTGCTTGCCTTCCTGACCTCAGGGGGGTCTGCTGGAGTATCCCTGCCAGGTCCCTAACAAATTGTGCTTTTCTCCCCCCCTTCCATACTAGGATTTCCCCCAATTCCAGCACGGGGAAATCCTAGTACGACAGAATCGGGGAAAATCCTAGTACGGAAGAGGACAAAAGCTCAATTTGTCCCTTTCCGTACTAGGATTTCCCCCCAATTCCCTCTGTCCAAATTTCTGTCCTACCCCTGTGAATACAACCTTATTTACTGTTTTACTTCTCCCGGCACAAAGACACACCACGAGAATAGATGTTGCACTCGGGCACAGACTCAGACTCAGCAAGCACCGGATAGACTCTCGAACACCCAGAAAACACAGCGAAACAGAAACACTCAGGAGTCAGAACCCTTGGAATTTTTTTTTTTTTAAATAGGCCACCTCCAACTGTGCGGGCCGTTTGCACAAATGACAGTCACTTTTCACAGACCCACTGTATGACAAATGACAGATTGCAGACCCACTCTACGCAGTGCAAGCCTAGCCTTGGTTGTACATTCCTTTGCTTTGGAAAGCAAGAATGTTGTGCAAAAGGAGGGAGGGGGGGGGGGGGAGGAAACCTTTTCACCAACTCTTTCAAAATATTAAACTTCCCTCACCCCTGCCTTTCCCCAACCCTTTAGGAATATTCAATCCTTTGCTTTGGAAAGCAAGAAGGTTGTGCAAAAGGGATTAAAAAAAAAACATTTCCACCAACTCTTGCAAAATATTAAAACTTCCCACACCCCTGCCTTTCCCCAACCCTTTAGGACTACTCAATCCTGCGTCCCCCACTTCCCTCCTCTCCCCCCAAATGACCCCCCTTTCCCCAACCCTCCTCCCCTCAACCTAATGACAGAGAAGGAAACTGTTTTTTTTTTTTTTTTTTCAGTTGGCGTGGGCACTCCACAATGAGGCCTGAATTTCATACTTGTGTAGATTACTCCCACCGGTTGGCTGATCTAGGCACCTACCAAAAAAAAAAAAAGAAAAAAAAAAAAAGGTGACTGACTTCCAGTCAGTTTTGGTAAACGTTGGCATTCAGAGGTTCACAACACTGGCTGTCAACATTTTTAGGGCATAGTCAAACTAGCACCTTTTGACCGAATCTGGTCATTATTGTGATCAGATGCATCCTGAAAATCCGTATTTGTGTATGGTGTATTCTGCTCAGACTGCCGACCAGTAGGTACCTACTCGTCAGTTCCTAACTTCGCTGAGCATATGTTCTTGAGAGCCATTTAGCGTAGGCTTTTTTTTTTTTTTTTTTTTTTGGGGAAATGTAGGCTTTCACTCCCCCCCCTTCGCCTTGCAAGTTTTTCTTTTCTTTTATATTTCCGTTTCATCCCGTTTCTCTTTCTCTTTTAAAAACTTCCTTTCCTCGGATACATCAGGCTTCCAGGTTTCTTTTTTTGGGAAAGTGACGAAAGTCCATTTTGTAGCGATGATTGTGTCTGTTGAAAAAGCATTCGCATTGGGCTCGCCAGAGCTGTAAATTTTGGGTTGCTTTTCTCAATTTATGTGTGTCATCTTTGCGCAGGGGTCATGCTAATTCTTTCTCTGTGTTGTTTAAAAGTTTAACGGCTGTTGCTTTCTAATTAAACCCACAGTTTCAAAAATGTGACCTTCTTGCTTTGCCTATCTGTGGTGATTTCTGTCTTTCTGTGGAGATTGAGGCACTGTTGCTCTACTTCGTTATTTTTTGTGCTTGTACAGTTAATGAAGTTAATTTATTTCTTTATCCGTATGCTGTGCACATTAAGGACAGACTCAGAGTAGCCCTTCCCAAAATGCATGCCACTGCAATTACGGACAGACCTAGATGAATCTGGCTGCCATCGAGTCCAGAACTTTGTCCAAAACGTCCCAGTGTCAGTATGCCCTGAGCTCGTCTTTTTGTGGCTTTAAAAGAACTTTACATACTGATCTCTAATGGATTGGATGTAAGTGCAGAGATCGGAGTTCTGTAAGACGGTCTTCTTTTGTTTGAAGTCCTCAAAACTTTGCTTTTTTCTTTCTCTTTTTCTTTTGAACTTTTTCGAAGGGGTTACGTTCGAGCCGTATTGTTT